AACCACTCCATGATTCTGTCTTTGCGTGCTGGCCAACCATGGGATGGTTACACAATCCTCAGCTTACAGCTGTTCTGCTTGATGTTCCTTTGAAAGGTAGTTAGTCACCTTGGGCTGTGCGGTGGTAACGACCTGGTGCTGTTACTCGCGTTGGCGGTTGGAATCGGACAGGGGTGTGTGTGGTGTAAACAGTATGAAACGGGATTCGTTCCAGGCAGTTGAAGGAACTGAATGTGTTTTATGCTGTTGCCAGATTCCGCATCGTCGTGTCCATTCTGTCTTTCAGTAAAACTGAAGTTTGTAACACATGGAAAAGCTGAAGAAGGCAAACCAGTACTTTTCTGCACTGATGTTTTCAGTAGTTTGCCCGTGACTGAAATGTGTTTTACCACTGGTTGGACACGGGGTGGTGAATTTGACCTTAACTGTGGCAGGGCTGTCTCTGAGCTGGTGCTGCTTACTCGTTTAAGTATGTCTTAATGTCATCTCCGATAGCGTTGGAGCAGAGTGGGTTGGGTTGGAAGGGACCTTAAAGATCTAGTTCCAAGTAGTTAATGAGCTGCTGGTTCTGTTCTTGAAGGTTTTGGTGCCAACACCGCTGGAAATAGTTTGTTTGGAAATAAGCCTGCAACTGGGACTCTGGTCACTGGACTCGGAACAGGGTTTGGAACAGGTAAGCGGTTTAGCAGCTTATTTCACTTCAGCTGAAGGGTCGTCCTCAGACCTCGGGGATAACACAGCCCTGGTGTTACCTGCTAACTCGCCTAGTAAAGGCTGTTGATGGTCTAGCTTGGAGCCAGGAATCTCTGTCGAATCAGAACCAAGCAGAGCTTGCAACCCCAGAGCTGAGTAACCTTTTAGGAGTCACAGGCACCACTGTTTAAAGTGGTGGCTACTGGCTCAGAAATGTGGTGTGCTCTGTGTTTGAGGCCTCTGGTCTGACCACACTTCAGTCTGTAGCATTCCTGGGCACGTCAAAAGTTTGTTGCAGCTTAATGAGTAATTGGTTCTCTGTTGTGGGATAAATTGGCTTCCAAGTGTCAGAGTCATGTAGTAAATAACAGTCATCTTGCACCGCAGCTCTTGGGGCAGGACAGACGTCTCTGTTTGGAAACACCCAGCCTAAGCTTGGTGGGACGCTAGGAACAGGAGCGTTTGGAGCCCCAGGATTCAATACGTCAACAGCTACGCTGGGGTTCGGAGCCCCGCAGCCTGCTGTAGGTAAGTGCAGGTTAACCCCGCTGACAGAGCAGCGTGTCCCACCCACGTGCTTTGGAGGGAAAAGAAATGCTTGAGCATCTATTTGAGACATTTTCAGCAGTTCATGACCCTTTTGTGCTGATGACATGTGTATTTAGCTAATTCAGAGGCACTTTACTAATAGCTGTCGCTGTTTTAGAGCTTTGTCTTGTGGAGGATTTCCCGTCGCTGAGTCTGGGGCAGCAGCAGGTGCTTCCAGTAAAAAAAAGGAAGGGGAATGGAGCATGAGTTTCCTCAGGGAGGGGAGCTGGAGGGACTCATCAGTGGGTGTGCTGTGCCGCTGGTGAAACGTGTGGTGTTTACATTCAGGCAGTTGTGCTGCTGTTTTGGTGGTGGTACCGTGCCGACCCCATGGAGTTCAGCCAGGCCAAGGACAAGGTCCTGCTCCTGGGTGGGGGCAATCCCAGCCCCAGGCCAGGCTGGGGGAGAATGGATGGGGAACAGCCCTGAGGAGAAGGACTTGGGGGGCTGGGGACGAGGAGCTGGCCAGGAGCCGGCCGTGTGCGCTGGCAGCCCAGAAAGCCAACCCCATCCCTGGACCTCCCTGGATGCAGCCCCGCAGGCTTTGCCGGCAGCACCCGGAGCGGGGCAGCGTAGGGGAGGGTCTTAACAGCTGCTCAGCTACACCCGCTTCTGGGCTGGGAAGGACCTTGCAGACGTCGGCTGGAAGCTCTCCCCTCTCAGAGCGGGTTGGCTCTTCATTGGCAACGCACAGGTTCCACCCGGCGTTCCTGGATTTAGGCTGGAGCTGCTGTGGGTTGCTCAGAACGCTTCGTAGTGTCAACACGTTCAATGTTTTAAGGGGAATTAGAATGAGGTGCTGGGACATGGAGAAACAGAATTGAGGCCTTTGTTCTAGAGAGGCCTCCAGCCCTGTCAGCTTGAGTGCTGGAGCAAGAAGAGCAAAACCTTGCGTCAGATAGTGGGTTATGTTTCCTTAAAAGACGTTTTAAAGCCAAACGTGTTGGTTAAGGGTTTTGGCAGGCCAGGCTCCTTCTGTGGCTGTGTCGCTCCTCATGCCCTCGGCTTGACGCAGGTTAAGACTTCTGTGGTTGCAAATTCCAGTGGAGGGACAGAATCCCACTTCTTCCTTCAGAGCGCTGGAGGAACGGGGACTGAAGAGCAGGGGAAAGGGATGCTGAAGTTGGTATAGAAAACAGAATTCCTATGAGGACACCCTCTGAGTGTTAGCCTGTCTTTTCTATCTCTGTCAGTTCTATTGGTGAAACTGTTAAAACCCAAATACACTCTTTTTTTGTAGCCCTGACAGACCCAAATGCGTCAGCTGCCCAGCAAGCGGTCCTGCAGCAGCATCTCAACAGCTTGACTTACTCCCCCTTTGGGGATTCTCCACTCTTCAGAAACCCCATGTCAGACCCAAAGAAGAAAGAAGAGGTAAGTGCACCTAAATATTAAATTCGCTTTCCGGGCAAGATTTGAAAGTGCTGTGATTTTTGTGCTCAGGCTTCGCTTCCGTACGCAGTGAGCAGCAGAGCTGGTTGCTCTCTGCATGCTCGTACTGGTCCAGTGGCTTTCAGTGCTCTGCAGGATGCAGCCCGCTCACACTGCGGGTTTTACTGCTCCTGCCTGCCTCGCAGCTGTGGCTTTGGAGAACAGGCTGAGAACAAGGGTGGGTAACGGCCTGTGCTTGGAATATTTTTAGTCCTGAGCTTGAGCTTTGCTTATGTGACAGTCTCTGACAAACCGCACCTTGAGAAGCTGGCCATGAGCCGGCCGTGTGTGCTGGCAGCCCAGAAAGCCAACCCCATCCTGGGCTGGATCCAGAGCAGCGTGGCCAGGGGGGCAAGGGAGGGGATTCTGCCCCTCTGCTCCGCTCTGGGGAGACACCCCTGCAGTTCTGCTCCAGCTCTGGGCCCCCAACAGCAGAAGGACACGGAGCTGTTGGAGCGAGTCCAGAGGAGGCCCCGGAGATGCTCTGAGGGCTGGAGCCCCTCTGCCCTGGGGACAGGCTGGGGGAGTTGGGGGGTTCAGCCTGGAGAAGGGAAGCTCCGGGGAGACCTCAGAGCCCCTTCCAGTGCCTGGGGGGCTACAAGAAAGCTGGGGGGGGTGTGTGTGTGTGGAGCTTTTTCTGTCTAGCAGAAAGTGTCCGTCGGTGTGTGACTGGGGACATCACCCTGGTTCCTATTACCCTGTCAGCCACCTTTGTGCCTGTGTGTGTTCCTCCCCCTCGTTGCTTGGCTCAGGTTCCTGGAGTGGATAGCCACAACCCCAGCAGCCGCTCTCATTGCCCCCAGACCCACACAGTCGGTGCTATCAAACTTCTGACTCTCCATCTCTTTCCTTTCAGAGGCTGAAACCCACGAACCCGGCAGCTCAGAAGGCCTTAACAACACCCACCCACTACAAACTGACCCCGCGTCCCGCGACCAGAGTGCGGCCGAAAGCTTTGCAGTCGGCGGGCTCTGCCAAATCTCATCTCTTCGATGGTCTCGACGATGACGAGCCGTCCCTCTCCAACGGCGCCTTCATGCCAAAGTTAGTTTTGTCTGCCTTGGAGGGAGCGGGTGGTGCGGGAATCTCCTGATCAGATGCAGTGAAGGCCTGGGTAGTATCCTGCATTCCATGACTGTTGTGACCAGGTCCAAACACAAGTAGCAATAACAGCTTCTCTGTAGAGCTGGAACAGCGCCGTGTTCTGTAGAGGAGAAAAATGTTCATCTTAGGCCGTGGAGGCCAAGTGAGCTGGAAATGAGGTCATGCCATGACTAGAGCACTGCTCCAGTGGAGGAATTGGTTAGGGTTGGAAGGGACCTTAAAGATCATCTAGTTGAATTCTTACGAGGAATTCTTAGGAGGAAAGCTTGCACGGTGTGATGCTTCCTGCCGCTGCCATGGAAGCGTCGCCCGGCCGATGCAGCCGGTAGGAAGGGCAGGTTCCTGGTGCTGGTTCTGTCTCAGATACAGATGTTCATGTGGGACACAGTGCTGTGGATCTGCCCCCCTGAAATGTCAGTCCTCCACCTTAGGAGTTCAGCTAAAAACCACTTTGGTCTGCCTAAGCTCGGGCTTTTTAAAAACACGTTGTTACGTCCGTGAACCCGCTCTGGCTTTAACGTAGCCTGAACCGTCTGTTCCCTCGGCAGGGATAGAGCAGCGCGTGGGATTACTCGGTGTTGTATTGAAAAGCACCGCATGACCAAAGGGAGGATGGAATTGCTGGAGTCTAACGGGCGTAGGTGTTCAGTGCTCTGCCCCAGCCTGGCAGATGTGCTCCTGAAGTCACCCTGGCGTGAAGCACCTGCACCCCTGGGCCGGGTGCGCCGTGGGAAAGCCCTGTGGTGGAACACGGATAATGCCGTGGGTTGGGTTTTGAAGCTTTCAATGGTTTGTGCTTTTCAGGCTTACAAACCAAAGCCTCGAGTGGAATTCTGGGAAGTGTTAGTATGTCAGTGCAGTGGTTTAACT